AAGTAACGTGTCCATTATTGGAAATGTGCCCATGAGTCAGACAAGTATAGTGTACGTTCCTATGAAGGGAAGTCCATCGAGGTTCACGGTAATTGGTGAACCACAGTCAGGGGAATCCAGGATCTCATGTGTGTCGGAGTCGTCTGGGTCTATGTTATGGTTTACTCCAGTAGAACGGTTCCAATGTACATTGTCGCTTCGTGCGGGAGGTATGCCCATCAATGGTGTCTCGCAGGACTTTTTGATAACAATGCCTGAAGGAGGCAGTACGGAGCCCATGCCCGTTCATGCATGGGGTCCCACGCTCTTTATTCAAGGAGCAACTCCACCGATAATAAACAATGTGTCGTCTCCGAGGACGTCTAATCAACTCTTTAGTGTACTTGTTACATTCACACCACTATCACGTTCCATTGCCTCTACCTCCGGAACACTTGTGTACGCCGATATCATAGAATTAAAGAGGGAGAGTGGCGGTGAAGTTTCCCTCACGTTGATGGGTTCTGGGTTAAGTCCCAGCAACAAGTATGGCGTGCGATCGACGCCTGAATGTGTCGAGGGCGTTGACAGCGAGGCTAGGGTGACTAGTAGTAAGATGTCCACCACCGAATTACAATTGTCTGTGAAGGTGGCAGAAGGGCCCTTTTATCTTTGCTTTGCACCCAGTGATCAGCCGGAACGTTGGCAATCACTTTCAAGCGAAGCGTTGGATTACAAATCCAGTGGTGGTTTGGATAAATGGAAAACTCTTTTAATTGTTGGGGTTATACTTCTTTTATTACTATTAATACTTCTGGTGGTGGTGGTGTGGCGGGTATGCATGTTCAAGCGTCGAGAAGAAACACAGTACGTACAGAAGGCAGTTTACATGCCACCGCGTGCCAATTACCGTTTCCTCCGCCGTGACAGAACTGAAACACAAACAACGGAGAATTTGACTCCGTCTGCCCCAACCACGACATCCCAACCCTCAGCAGAACGAAAGGAGATGGTTCCATCACCGATGAGGCGGAGCAACCACAAGGTGCGTATTAATATCCATGACCATGATGCGTATTCGGATGTTGAAGTAGAAGGGGATGGTGAGACGAAGTTGCGCCCCGTGGCTCCAGGGGGCTTCAAGAAACGTGAAAGCAATGGGGAAATGAAAAAAGATTCACATAAGTTTGTGGAGCTGGATTCCAGCGAAGACGAAACGTCTCGTTTTATTCCATCCGTGCCACCACCAAAGCCGCCAAGAGACGATGACGTCATTCCACTTATTGGGGCAGTGGAACAGGCTACGGATGCACGGCTAGGGGCGGGTGAGGAGACATCGCGCTCTGGACCGTACCAACATTTACATCGGCAGCCTCAAGAGCGGCCACCGATGGAAGCGCAGTTCTCACCCTCCTCCAATGCGGCGGCGGCGGCAACAAGCACAACAACAACAACGGCCATGGGCGAAGACGCCGACAGAGGTCAACAGTGGGTGGGGCCTTTTTTGGTGAGAGGACACACTTCCAGGCCGATGGTGGATCAAAATTCCCCTTCAAATGGCACTGTCAGAAATGGTGACAGACGGAATGGGAATTAAATCTATTTGCTTCCAAAAATAGCTCCAGTAAAAACTGGGGAAGCCAGAGATGAAGCATTTAT